CCAAAAGGAAATGACTACCCTTGGGGGTGGGAGAGACACCGTACTGTGCCCCAATCTGTGCAGTTTGCTTCTTTGCTAAGTGGGTAATAACAGAAAGCGAACTTTGAAGCAGGGTTGTAGAGGACGTTTTGCCTTAAGTAGCCATGTTGTAGAGGACGTTTTGCCTCTTAAGTAGCCAGTAGGGGGCTCTGTGAATCTCATCAACAAGGGAAAATGAGGGCAGGTTAAATCTGACTGATTTATATTTTTTAATTTGATGCAACCTCCAAACTAATACCAACAAACACTTGGTGGGAGTTTATCCTCTTCTCATTATGAGAAGGGATCATGGCAAATAAGACGCATCTGCTGATTTAGATGTCATCCTCCTTCCATTTTAAATACCTGGCTGACCTTGGCTGGGTCGGCCTGCCAGCAGGACTTCTGGTATCTGTAAACCCAGAGTTGCCAAAGCTTAACCCTGCTGCTGACAGCCAGCCGGTGAGGCCAGGCAGGCAGGCTGGACTCATTGCAGCTCTCTGGAGAGAATCCTGATTACCCCCACCTTGGAGTGGATTTTTAGATAATTCCTGGGGCAAAGTGACAAAACAAGGCACATCACTAACAGCACACCGTTGGCAAAGACTATGTGCCAATAATAAGTATTTCAATTATCATACATTAAAATGACATCTCAGCCAGGCAGGGCAGTTCATAGCTATAGTCTCAGCTAGTCAGGAGGCTGAGGCAGGAGGATCATTTAAGCCTAGGAGTTCCAGGCCAGCCCGAACAATTTAGTGAGATCCCATCTGAAAAACATTAACTAAAACCTATTTCCCTTTGGGTGCCCATATTCTATATGTTTTCAAATACATGAATAATCAGATCTGCTTCAGAAGTTCTTAAAACTTCTTTACCAATGACTGCCCCCACCCCCAGCATCCCTGAACAGGGGGCCAACCTCCTCCAATGTTCTAAAGATTCTTCTCAACCCTTCTTGGGATATCTGCCAGGAATTTCTGAGTGGAATTCAGATCTCAGGACACAACACAATATCCAGAGGTGTAGGAGATTTACTTCCTCTCCCCCTCCAAGTTCTTACTTTCTAGGTGGGCTCTTGCTATGTCCCCAGACTGGGCTCACACTTTCTTCTGGTAGCTGGAACACAGCATGCGCCTCCACACCCGATTCCCCTCTAGGCTCTGGGTGTCTTTCCAATAAGGTCCCTCACATCCTTTTATCTTTTTTTTTTTTTCAGGTGATTGAACTCAGGCCTGGTGTACACCAGCCCAGTGCTCTACCCCTGAACCATACCCCAGCTCTCAAATCCATTTGATGTAGGCACAGAAACGGTTCCATCAGTGAGGAACGAGCTTTGGGAGTCCTTACCTTCTTGATCTGATCCTCCTTCAGCTTGGCAAAGTAAAACGCCATCAAGTGCACTGCGAACATGATCGCTAAGTTGGGCTTCTCCTAAGATAGCCAGAGATTTCTGTGCGCTGTTCACTGCCCCGTCTCCCGGGAGTGCTGCACACTCTCCAGTTCAGGCTGGGAGCTAGGTGCATCGGACTACATACCTCCAGCCTGCCTGGTTCAATGATTAAACTTTGCCTGGACTCTGGCCCCTCCCTCTGCCGCACACTTAATTGTCTAATAGTAGGTTCTGGTGGTAGCTAAAGGCCAGTGGCTGGGAGGCCACAACTGATGGGTTCCTTGACTATTTGAGAATCGGGTGTCTCAGTATCTCATTGCTAAGCAACGCTTTCGGGCCAGTGCTCCAACAAGCCCACTCAGCCAAGGAAAATCTTTGGAGAAGTTGGTCACTAAATAAAGCCGACTTTCACCCAGTAGAGCTGCCCTGCAAATTTCCAGTCCCCAGATTTCCACTTCAGTCCCTTTCTTCTCTACGCAGCGACGGAATTCCATGAATTCCTAGTTCTCTGAAGCACTGTCTTAATAAAGACTAACTAGTGCCCTGCTCAGGGAGATTCCAAGAATGTTGGGACAAAGTCCTCCATTTGTGACAGATGAGATCTCTGCTAACAGCCCACGGTTGATGGAAAGCAATCAATACAGATTTATCTACTCACAATGTTAGGCCAGACAAACTCTAGTTCACAGGTAGTGACCCGGAAAAAAATGCATAGGAAAGAAGGAACTGACATGCTCAGGACTCAGTGGGAAACTGGCACTGGGGAGGAAAGCTGAAGTTGCAGAGGGAAAGGTTTTATGGCACTAAGATTCAGATGACTCGCTTACCTCGATGTGAGAAGGACCCAAAGAGGCCCATGTGCAGGAACAACAACCCTGGCACTCTTCCCACAGCCACTGGCTGGCTAGTGAAGTCAGTGACACGTGACAGCAGCAGCTGTCGTGGACAGAGTATGGCCTACTCCCATTTCATAGATGAGACAACTGAGGGTCAGAAAGGCAAAGGAACTTACTCAAAATCACAAAGCCGGCAAACAGTTCGGCTACGAATTAATCCCAGAAGTTTGACTCAAGAGCTCAGACCCTCAAAGTTTCCATTCTCTATGCAAATACTCAGCTGATAACCATTAGCAGCTTTCTGTCAGGTCACTGGGTAATAATTTCAACTATTTGGAAAACTAGAGATATCACTTCAGGAATGGAGTGGAGAAAGGCAAAATTTAAAAATGCCTAATTCTGGGGTACCAAATACATACTACTCAAATGCTCTGTAAAATTAGAAACTGACCAGGTATTAACAAAGGTCTGCTGGGGACGCCAGTGTTTCTTGCTGCTACGTAGCACCTGTTCTTCGATACAAGGGCCTCTGAGTAAAACGTTCTTCTGGTCTGTTAACAGCCTCATCTTTCTCTTCTTTCCAAATGCACAATCTCACTAATCAAAACAATGACCGAAGGGCCAGGGATTTAGCTCAGAGGTTCTGCTGCCTGCCTCCCAAGTACAAGGTCCTGAGTTCGATGCCCAGTACCAAAAAAACAAAAACAAAACGATGACTGAACCACACCTGGGCAGGAGACCTTCAACACCTGCCTCTGCAGAAGCCAGTAATTCTCCAACCAGTTCTCTACCCATCGTCGTGTGGATGAGTTGCTGGGCATCTGGCTTTGGCTCACAATGCAGAGGGTGCTTGCCTAAAATTATTCCAGACACTTCCCAGTGACATGTCTCCCAGATTGAGAACCCCTATCCTTTCTGACTGTTCCCTCTCAAACTGTGACTTTTAACTCCTTTACTTGACCCACAAGCAAAGGTTAACTTTCAAGTCACAAAACCTTTCAGTTCCCCAATCCTGGTAGAGTTGTTGGTGTTCAGAAATAGACCTCTGTGCCATCACCGGCACTAGCCAGGGACAACATTCTGGGGCTGGTCACCTGTTCATGAGTGGTGACAGTACTTATCTTTATTCCTCCACTAAAAACTAACTGCAGAGCATACAGCACAGCGGACATTGATGTATTTCAACACAGGGGTAAGAAATAACAATGGTCAGTTGGCAAAAAAGAAACAAAGGTCTCAGGCTGGGGATTTAGCTCAGCGGTTCGGTGGCGTGCCTTGCAAGCGCAAAGACCTGAGTTCAATCCCCGGTACAAAAAAAAAAAAAAAAAGAAAAAAGAAACAAAGGTCTCTGCAATCTCCTGGATGTTTGTGTGAGTCTCCCCCGGAAAAAAAAAAAAAAAAAAAAAAAGAAAAAAGAAACAAAGGTCTCTGCAATCTCCTGGATGTTTGTGTGAGTCAGACAGGCAGCCTTTGGAATTTTCATCAGGCAAATGACACCAACGGATTTTCATGTGTTCCATCATTCCATTTTGTTATTGTTTTTTTGGTACCGGGGATCAAACTTGGGTCCTTGTGCTTGTGAGACAGGTGCTGGGTCTACAGTTGGTGTCTGGTGCCAGTGGGAGATGCTAGTAAGGGCCAAGTTCCTAGCTGTAAGGGCTCATAGCCACCTCAATGGTCCCTGGTGAGATCAGAAAGGGGAAGGTAGGAGGCCCCATTGGGTAAAATTTTTGTTGTTGTTGTTTTGTTTTTATTTTGGTACCAGGGATCAAACTTGGGTCCTTGAGCTTGTGACGCAGGCAGCAGAACCACTGTGCTAAATCCCTGGCCCCCCAATTGGGCAAAATTAAAGCATCTCCTGAATCTAACCCTTCAGGAGCCTAGGGACCCTTGTTAAAATTGCTATTTCATTTCATTCAGTTTGGTCACTTAGGATAAGAAAATGTGTGCAGCCCTTTCAGCCCATTCAGTAAAACACAACCGTAAACCATTAGAAGGTATCAGTTCCATTTATGGGAATTATAGGAACAGTTACAGATTTTATAAAAAGTCTGCTCCTAGCCAGGCATGGTGGTGCACACCTGTAATCCCAGCACTTGGGAGGCTGGGGCAGGAAGATCTCTACAAGTTCAAGGTCAGCCTGAACTACAATAGTGAGACATTGTCTCAAAAAACCAAAAATAAAACAAAAATTCTGTTGCCATTACTAAAGAAAATAGATCTTGAATTGTGCACTGTTTTTTTTTAATGGCAAGTTTGAAATTAAATTGTCCATAACATAAATCAGTCTGACCTGCTGGTATCCCACTTGTTGCAGAAGAATGAACGTGTATGAGAGCAAACATCCACAAAAAGAAAACCCCCGAACTCTACTAGCAGTTATAGTCACTATGGTGTCTCTATGGGAGCAACCACGAATTAAATAGAAATGTTAACCTCAGCAACTTCCAGAAGAATGCTACTGGCCATTTTTATAGGTTTGTTGCTAACCGGGAGATGACAAGAGGTGCTCATGAAGAAATTACACCACCACTATTTTTTTTAAAATCACAATCATACATTAAGAATCACATTTACAAAATGCCTATCAAGAAAGACAAGCTAGGGCCTGGGGTTTGGTTCAGTGGTTCCGCCACATGCCTCACAAGCACAAGGACCTGAGTTCGATCTTCAGTACCAAGAAAGAGAGAGAGAGACAGAGACAGAGACAGAGACAGAGGGGGGGAGAAAAAAAGATGCAATTTAGATGGTATTTATTTATTGGTTCCAGGGATCAAACTCAGGACCTTGCACTTGTGAGGCAGGCACAGTGCCACTGAGCTACATCCCCGGCCCTTCATATGGCTTTTGACATTTAACATTGTAATTACAATCTCAATTACACAAAAGAAGCGACTTCTGAAAGCAAATGAAACTTCTGATTAAACATGGCACAAACCCAAGAAGACCCAGAAATTAAAGTGATCAATAAGAGATCTTAACATAATTTTGGAAACACAAAGCTGCCAGAAAAGTAATAGCTCATCAGAGGAAGCACTGAAACCTAGGTGTTTGCACAGGGTGATCCCACTGAGGTCCGAAATTGGAAGTTCAGGAGCAGCCCATTTTTCAGTCCCCTTCTGTCTCTCTTAGACAGAGGCATCTTTCAATAAATTTCTCCTACCTCTGTCGTTCCTCGAATTCATTCTTCGGTTTTAGAGAACATGAACTCACATTTCAGATATCTAGCCAGTTTGGGAGTTGCACCTATTCCCCCTTTATCATTTTGTAGGTCTTCCACCGAGATTACTTGCCAGAGACTCAGAGCTATACGCCTACCCAAGATGACAATTCCTGGTGCCTATCTAGGGCCTTTACATAGACTTTCTATAGAGTAACTCTGACTGCCAGTCACAACTATGACCCTCTTCAGCCAGAAGCAGCCAGAACAGTCTTTGCCCCTTGCCTCTTCATGGCAATTAGGGGTACTTGAGAGGGGGGGATATTGTAGATAGGCAAGTTAACTAGATATCCTGTAGGCAGTTAGACAGGGCCAGCACACAAAGAGCCAACAGGGAGGATAATCGAGCCAACACTGAAGACAATCAAGACACAGTCACTGAAGGCCAGCGCTGTAAAAGAAGAGAAACTACCACACCCACATAGGTTGAATAGCAGTGATTGATATTCTCAATAGGTATCAGTCACCTGGGTGGGGGACCAAGATCTTCCAAGAAAGACCCCTGACCCTCCCCTTATCAAAAATTGCTCACTCCTTGTATGCTTGCTATGTGACTTGCCTCCCCATTGGCTCCCATTTAATCAATACAACCTAAGTGACCATACTTATTGTAATCTTATGGATTGATCATAGTTTTGTCCACCTGGTGATCCCTCGTTGGATCAGTATTACCTTTTTTTTTTTTCTACTGGGGATCGAACTTGGGTCCTTGCGTTTGTGAGGCAGGTGCCAGAACCACTGAGCTAAATCCCCGGCTGGATCAGTATTACCTAAGCAACTGTACTTGCAATCTTACTAGTTGACTATAGTTTTGTCCCACCTTGAACCCACCTCACCTCGTGGCTTTGTCCCATAAAACACCTTTGAGCAGTTGGGTGAGTGGGTAACCCACTTTCTGGTCCCTCTTCTGTCTCTCTTAGGCAGAAGCTATATTACTCTCAATAAAAAAAAAAAAAAAATCTATATAAAAAAAGCAGTCAGGCCCCAGCTGTTAAGGAGACTGAGCCCAGACCGCCAAGCACCATGGCAAGCAGGAGTGAGGCACAACCCTGAAAAAGGACAACTGAGTGAATCCCTGATATGAACAAT